GTCAAGGATCTGACTCAAAGTACATTTAATGGAGGGCAGGAAGTGGGGATCTGGAAAATGTATATATTGATATGCATGTTAATAGGAATATATGTGTTTATAATAATATCTAATATATATATATATTTTTTTTTTTCTTCTCCCGTCTGTGTGTGTGTGTGTGTGTGTGTGTGTGTGTGTGTGTGTGTGTGTGTGTTGTGTGTGTGTGTGTGTGTGTGTGCTGATGCGTATGCAGATAGATGGGTAGATAGATAGACGGGCAGATGGATTGATAAGTGGGTAGGTAGAGAGATATGTAGGTACGTAAGTGTGTGTGTGTGTCTGTCTGTCAATATGTGTGTGATTGAGGCATGATGTACGTCTGTATCAAACTTTAGACAAGGCTTTGATAGGATAAGTGGGTAGACAGAGAGGTATGTAGGTACATAGATAGATGTGTCTGTGTGTTTGTCTGTCAATATGTGTGACTGAGTGTGTGTGTGTGTGTCTGTCTGCCAATATGTGTTTGACTGAGGCTTGATGTACGTCTGTATCAAACTTTAGACAAGGCTCAGATACTGATACATGGAGTTGACTCAGCTAACATACAAGAGGCGTGGGATCCGATGCGATATCCTTGTCGGTAAATCTTGAAGCTGGCCAAGTAGAGACTGGGAGAGCGTTGTGCCAGCTCTCTCTGCCTGGAACTGTTCTTCTGGGAGAGGACACGCTGTTATTGATAGGAACTGCTTCTTGGAGTTTGAATTGTGTGTTTTTTTTTATCTTTCAGTCTCTCTACCTTTTCAATTCTGTCTGTCTCTTTTCAGCTCTCTCTCTCTCTCTCTATCTCTCGCTTTCTTTCTCTCTTCTTTCTCTCCTCTCTCTCTCTCTCTCTCTCTCTCTCTCTCTCTCTCTCTCTCTCTCTCTCTCTCTCTCTCTCTCTCACACACACACACACACACACACACACACACACACACACACACACACACACACACACACACACACACACACACACACACACACACACACACACACACTCTTCCCTCCCTCTCTCTTTCCATCCCTCCCACCTACGCCTCCCCCCCCTTCCCCCTTCCCTCCCTCCACCTACGCTCCCACCCACCCCTTCCCTCCCTCCCTCCCTCCCTCCTCCCTCCCTCCCTCCCCCCCACCACCCACCCACCCACCCAACCCCCTTTCCTCCTTAGCCTCCTCACCCCCCCTCCTCACCATTTCTCACGTTATCCATCCGTTTATCCAACCGTCTCCGTCCACCCACAGATCACCTTCATGGAGGAGCCGCCCTTCATCAACATGGACCCCCCGCACCCCGTCACCGGCAAGTGCACGGCGAACAAGGGCGTGCCGTGCAGGATCGCCTTCGGATGAAATGATGCAAGGGTGAGTGTGTGAGGCGAGGGTGAGTGTGTGATGCAAGGGTGAGTGTGTGAGGCGAGGGTGAGTGTGTGATGCAAGGGTGAGTGTGTGAGGCGAGGGTGAGTGTGTGAGGGAAGGGTGAGTGTGTGAGCCAAGGTGAGTGATGAGGCGAGGGTGAGTGTGTGAGGCAAGGGTGAGTGTGTGAGCCAAGGGTGAGTGTGTGATGCAAGGGTGAGTGTGTTGAGGCAGAGGTGAGTGTGTGAGGCAAGGGTGAGTGTGTGAGCAAGAGTGAGTGTTGAGGGAGGAGTGAGTGTTGATTGAGCAAGAGGTGAGTGTGTGAGCAAGGGTGAGTGTGTGAGCCAAGGGTGAGTGTGATTCTCGTGCCTCGCTTCGTCCCCGTCCTGATGCTGCTATTGCTGGTGATGCTGGAAGGTCGGTTCGTGTGCACGGGATGTGGGGTTTGGGTAATAGATTGTGTTCTGGACTTTATAATCTGGGCTTTGATCATTTTCTAGTTGGGGGGGAGGGGAGGGGTTGATCGCTCCCTTGCTTTCTTCTTTTTTTATTTCGTTTCTTTTGTCATATTTAAACTTTTTTATCAAACGAGCTCAATCTGTTTTTTTTTTTTCTGGATTTTTTTTTCTAAGAGTTTTCTGACAACCCTCAGCTACATTCTGATGTCACTATAACGGTTTATAAAGGTACAGTCGCTGTCAAAACTTTTGTCAAATTTCGAATATCGTTCAGAACATGTACTTCATACCGCACTTTCTGCAAGGGGCGAGACAGATTCGAAGCTTGACATGACATGCCTTCTGTCCGCCATTGCACCTGTTCATGCCCGTCTCTCTCTCTCTCTCTCTCTCTCTCTCTCTCTCTCTCTCTCTCTCTCTCTCTCTCTCTCTCTCTCTCTCTCTCTCTCTCTCTCTCTCTCTCTCTCTCTCTCTCTCTCTCTCCTCTCCCTCTCTCCTCTCCCTCTCCCTCTCCCTCTCCTCCCTCCCACCATTGCACCTGTTCATACCCGTCTCGTCTCCCTGCAGCGTCAACGTGAGCTGGGCTATGCGGAACTCCAGCTACTACCGGTGCTGCTCGGGTTTCTGCATCGACCTGCTGGTGAAGTTCTCGCAGGACCTCGGCTTCTCCTACGACTTCTTCCGGGTGGAGGACGGCATCTGGGGAGCCATTGTGGTAAGGAAGGATGCGGCGGCGCTGTAGGATTTGCTGTGTTTAGTTTGACGGCGTGTTGATGTGTTCTGTAATATGTTCTAACTCTTGTTTAAGATTTGGCAAAGATGGTACCTTGTCCCAACAGCTCTCTTCATTTCACGTTTTCTTCTTCTTCTTCTTCTTTTGCTTCTTCGTCGCCCTCCATGTCCTTTTGGTTTCTCTGGCTCACATTTGCGAAAAGAAGAGAACAGCTGCTCAGACAGTCGCCAGTTAGAAGACTAGAAAGCAGACAAAAAGTAGACCAAAAAACACAGGTCTGCGCAACGAAGCACAAACACCTGTGGAAAAATAAATACCAAAAGCACTGCCATACAGAGTCGTCTTTGAGTTCAGCAATCTGTGGTGCACTCAGCTACACTGCTGCCTAAAAGAGAGACAGGGAGAGAGTGACAGAGAGGGATGGAAGGATAGCGGGAAGAGTCTGTGGTGCACTCCGCTATAAAAGAGAGACAGGGAGAGAGTGACAGAGAGGGATGAAAGATAGCGGGAAGAGGCGAGCGAGCGGGACCCTGCTCGGATAGGAGAGGACGCAGCAGGTAAAGACGAAAGATAAGAGCGAGGCGGAGACGGGAAGTTCGGAGCTTTGAAGGAACCGGTAATTGATCTCTTGAGGGAGAAGGATTAGCTCTTAGACAGGCCTCTAGATCCGAAGCGCGGGCAAGAAGGAGTCAGAAAATGTGCGATGCGGTGCCCTGTCTGTGGCGATGGCGGATCGGAGGTGGATGCCCCAACGCCGGCTAATGAGGAGGAAGAGGGGGGGGGGAGGAGGAGGAGGAGGAGGGATGATAATGGTTTTAATGAAAATAATAGTTTTAAGGATAATTGTGTTGACTGATAATGGTAACAATCATGATAAAGATAGTCAAAGGATAAAGTTGATCATGAGATTTTATTATTATTATTGTTATCGTTAATTTCATTGTTGTTATTATTATCATTTGATATTATTAACGATATCATATCATTATTATGATTTTTCCATGTCCGCTACTCTTCCGCCAAAGGCCGTGTCACACAGGGACTTGTCAAGATAAGGGTGAGGATAACCTACGTTACCACATCCTTTTGAGATGTAACCTTTTGTCTCAATAAACTTGTCAAAGTCAAAAAAGTCACACTGGGGATGAGAACCACGAAAACAGTCCGACGAAAATTTTAAGCTCGTCTAATACATTTTTTCCCCTGCAACCTGCATAGGGAACTTTACACACATGGTGACCGGTCGATTCATCATTCAGAGTAGTAATGTTTTATCAGAATCAAAAATATTTGTGCACGAGGTGGCGCTAGGGGGCGGTGAGGTGGTGTGTCATTTAACTATTTCTAAAGAGTGGCTTCCTTTCCCCCTCTCTCTCCCTCTCCCCCTCCCTTTCCCTTTCCCTTTCCCTCCTTCTCTCTCTCCCTCTCCCCTCCCCTCCCCTCCCCTCTCTCCCTCTCCCTTTTCCTTTCCTCTCCAGCTGCCCCTTCTTCTCCTTCTCCCTTCCCCCTCCCACTCCCTCTCCCTTTCCCTTTCCCCCTCCTCCTCCCCCTTCCTCTCCGCCTCCTCTCCCACACCTCTCCTCGTAAGGACATTAATATAAACCCATTAGCTTTTAAAAGGGTGTCCTTATTAACTTGCACCACATTTTTTTTCCCCATCTCGGTTTCGAAATCTAGGACTCGCCGTTTGAAGTATGTATTGCGAAAGGATTTAGGAAGGGTGGGGGTGAGGGGGGATGGGGGTGGAGACGCGACGGGGTAGGGATGGGGTGGGGGTGGAGAAGCGGCCGGGGTAGGGGGATGGGGTGAGGTGGAGTCGCTGAAAGGGATAGGGGTTAGGGGTGGAGACGCGGTGGGGGTAGGGGGATGGGGGTTGGGGATGGAGACGCGGTGGGGGTATGGGGGTGGGGGTGGATAGGCCTTTAATTAAATCTCTCCCACCCGGCTCGTGCTCTGTCTCGCCCAAATGGAAGGCGCTGGAGTCCCGAGGGTCGCCTGCCGAAGGAGCCAGGTGAAGGGGCTTCCGCGGCGGCCGCAGAGGCTGACGGAGGAGGGGGACCTGCAGCGTCGGCCTTTTCCACACCCCTCCCCCGACACACACTAACGGAGCTTGTCGTCGCTGTGTCGTTTTCATTATGTGTGTGTGTGTGTGTGTGTGTGTTTGTGTGTGTGTGTGGAGACAGAGAGAGAAAAAAAGAAAGAGGGAGAGAGAGGGAGTGGGGGAGGGGAGAGGGAGAGAGAGAGAGAGATAGGGGGGGGAGAAAGAGAGAAAAGAGAGTGTGATATAAATATATATATATATATATATATATATATATATATATATATATATATAGAGAGAGAGAGAGAGAGAGAGAGAGAGAGAGAGAGAGAGAGAGAGAGAGGGGGGGGATAGGGAATCAGAGAAAGAGAGAGAGAGAAAAAATGTGTATATATACATACATATGTATTTATATTTCCCTGTTTTATATACATACACACACACACGTCTCCAGAAACTAGAGACGTGCGGAGGCCCTCTGGGTGCATGAATCTCCGCCCCCCTCCCCCCCCCTCCTGTGCATGGAGATTCCTGTCCATAATTCGCGAAACAAAAGCTGATTTACGCGCCGCGGCAGATGTTCGCGAGTATGGCCGTTATCGTACAGCGGGCATGCGCGGACAGACGAGGCCGCGAGAGCTGGGATGTGTTAGCTTTGACCACAATATTGCCTTTCCTTTTTTTTTCTTTTTTTTTTTCTTCTCTTTTCTGGCGGTATTTTGGAGTGTCTCTCTCTCTTTCTCTTTCTCTACATATGTATATATATAAATACACATATATATCAATCTTTCTTTCTTTCTTTCTTTTCTCTCTCTCTCTCTCTCTCTCTCTCTCTCTCTCTCTCTCTCTCTCTCTCTCTCTCTCTCTCTCTCTCTCTCTCTCTCTCTCTCTCTTCTCTCTCTTTCTTTCTTTCTCTTCTCCTCTTCTCCCTCTCCCTCTCCCTTCCCTCTCCCTCTCCCTCTCCCTCTCCCTCTCCTCTCCCTCTCCCTCTCTCTCTCTCTCTCTCTCTCTCTCTCTCTCTCTCTCTCACTCTCTCTCTCTCACTCTCTCTCTCTCACTCTCTCTCTCTCTCTCACTCTCTCTCTCTCTCTCTCTCTCTCTCACTCTCTCTCTCTCTCTCTCTCTCTCTCTCTCTCTCTCTCTCTCTCTCTCTCTCTTCTCTCTCTCTCTCCTCTCTCTCTCTCCCTCTCTCTCTCCCTCCCTTTCTCACTCTCACTCTCACTCTCTTTCTCTCTCTCTTCCTCTCTTCCTGTGTCTCTTTCCCTCACCCATCCTCTTCACCTCGTCAACCGAAGGGGGCGAGAAAGACGGAGCCAGTAGGAGCCGTTGATCAAATATAAATACATGAATGTGTTACAAGTCGGGACAACGATCCCCTTCACTATTTCCAGACCCTCTGACAGAATGAATTACACACATATGCGCATATGTACGTTCGTTCATACATGCAAACATCCCAGCGTGCATGTACGTACAGACACGAAGTCGATTCGGATAGAATGATTTACGTGAAAGGATTTTGCTTATGTGTGTGTTTATCTGTAGATAGATAGATAGATAGATAGATAGAGAAAAAAGCGGTGGGGATATATTTTGAATGGTGTCTCGGTGCTTCTCCTGATTTGTTCATGAAAAGAAAAGAATTCGAAGGAAGAATTAAGAAAAGAAACATTGAGTGTGTTCCCTTTTGGTTCTCAGCCGAAAGGACCTTCAGTCTGCGCGTTGCTTTGTAGCGTCGTCGATTTTTCCAAGACATTTAAATGGCTTTGGATCGCGGGTTCAAGTTTTGGTTCTCGCCCCCGTGCCTGCGAGCTCCGATTTCGCCGGAAGTCGTGTAAAGTAATCAAGGCAGTCATTCTTAATTAACTTCTTTTTTTTTTTAGGCTTTCCTCCCAGTGCGCCTCAGGCTCGCTAGACGAAGCTGACATCCTTCTTAATCAGAGGTTTCCAGGTGGAATAATTAAAAGGTGGAGATAGAGTTTTGGTGAGGGAGGGAGGGAGGGGGGGAAGGGGGAGATTATTTATCGAACGGAAAGACGATTCGGAAGGCAGGGCGGAAGGGAAAATGGCGTCGGCCTTTAATTAATGAGGTTTCGTAAGCGATACCCGGAGTTTAGTTCTGCGTCGAGAGAGAGAGTAGGGAATTGTACTCGCGGAGGCTACGGTATTGATTAAGTCAGTGTGCTCTCAAGACCTAAACATCAACAACTGGCCGTTATATGCAAGTCGAGGTAATCCCCAGTTAGGTCGCCCTCGCTGCGTGGACATCACCTGACCGACGAGGCGCTGGGGGGGGGGGGGTAAAGGGGTCCACCTCCCTGCCGATTAATAAAACGTCTACGGGCGAGGAATGGGATATATTGCGAAATTGAATTGAATGTATTTTAATGCGGATCTATTGCACTTGACGGTGTAGAATTGGATGTATGATTCGACTGAGCGAGATACGGATTTGAGATCAAAGTTGATCGCCTCTTCTGCCTCCCCCCCCCCCACAGACAAAAAGGGTGGATTGTTTTATTATGGTTCGTGTTATGCTGGGGATGTGTACTTGGTTATATCACGTATCCTTCGTGATTTGGAAAGTAGTGAGAGAGAGAGCGAGAGAGCGAGGTAGGGAAGTAGAAAGAGAGAGGGAGGGAGGGAAGTAGAAAGAGAGAGGGAGAGGGAGGAAGTAGAAAGAGAGAGAGAGGGAGGGAGAGAAGTAGAAAGAGAGAGAGTGGGAGGGGGTGAAGTAGAAGAGAGAGGGAGGGAGTAGGGAAGTAGAAAGAAGAGGGAGGGAGGGAAGTAGAAAGAGAGAGAGAGGGAGGGAGAGAAGTAGAAAGAGAGAGAGAGGGGGGAGGGAAGTAGAAAGAGAGAGGAGGAGAGAAGGAAGGAAAAGAGAGAGAGAGAGAGGAGGGAAGTAGAAAAGAGAGAGGGAAGTAAAAGAGAGAGG